TTGCCAGGAGTTCCAGTACTCCAAGGTAATTCCCATTGTTGCTAGAGCCTATTCTTTCATCACTACCTCTGAGAGGAAGACCTCTTGATGTTAAAAATTATAGTGTTTCAACTATGCTCAATAGAACTTCTCTCCAGTATTTTCTCTCCAATTCTACTTGCAAAGCCAAAGTGGAATCAATTCGCCTTGCTGTAATTGCCCTCACACCCCAAGTAGTAACTGAGATTTTATGCTCTTTGCTACTTTCATGTTCAGCAACTCTACGCTGGCAGTTTTTCCAGTCGCTAAACCTACTAGTAAACAATGAGACTTGCTTGCTGAATAGCTTGCATGGAACACAAAATACATCTTCAGTTTTTGGAGAATACACAAGCCATTCACTTTTAACTTTTTAATCATTTGCTATTTGACGTGTAAACAAGGATTTGGGCACATATCGACCTCTTTCCTTTTCACCCACATTTTCACTTCTTGCAGATCTTGAGAAATCACATTGTTCACAATTTAGATCAAGAGGATGGTTTAGTAAATACTCAATCAGTTTATCATCAATTGTCAGCCAGTCATCTGGATCACTTGATACACACAAATCAACACTGACACCTTGTTCCACAGAATGTTTCTTATAAGTCAACTGAGATGAATCGGATGAAGTTTCAGTCACAGGTGGTACTTCCATTGCTGTAGGTGCTGATTTACTTAATCTCTGTGACTGTGACTCAGCTGACCTCGCTTCGTCATCTGAATCATGAAAGTGAACATCTACTGTGTCATCCCCTGGGAGTTTACTGTCACTGGTACTTGGCTCTGAATCTCCTTTTGGTTTAAAAAATGTTATCAGCTTTGGAACTGATTGCAGTTGTGCAGCTTTGGCTGCTTTTAACTTTCTCTTTTGTGAGCCACTCAGACATTTTTTCAGGGACGACATATTTATCTCATGAGAATCCCCAAGAATAATCTGTAAGCAAAAAAATAGTGTAAGTCTGTAAGAGATACCAATATCACAAGAAATAGACACAAAAACACATGTAATATAACACTGAAGTCCATTTAATGCAACATGTAAAATATCATTAGTTAATAATGAGTGCCGCGTACACAATATAAAATATCACTGAGCTGAGGCTGAGAAGATACTGACTGGCTGAGCGAGCTGTCAGCAAACCAACGGTAACCCTGACACGTACTGAACGTGAAACGATCCTGTCCTTCACACGTCAAGGCGCTGAAGGTTTCTTGAACTTTATTCTCTCTCTCTCTCTCTCTCCAGTATATATGTATGTATAGATAGATAGATAAATAGATAGATAGATTGATGGTGGGACACGGACATTTAAAAAAATATATATAATTTTTTTTTATTACCTTATTTTATCTTATTTTCTTCATTTTTGTATAGGGCCTAGTCCGTGGCCCACCTAAGAACCACCCCATGGCCCACCAGTTGAAGACCACTGCGGGCCTATACTTATTGTACAGGGGCCCCATACTCCGGGCCCTATACTTATTGTACAGGGGCCCCATACTCCGGGCCCTATACTTATTGTACAGGGGCCCTTATGGTTGTGAATATATTATATAATGAAATACTCGGTGTACACTTGAAACAAGGTTATACGCTGGCACGATGCGCGACAAATTAGTTTCAGTGGGCCCCCAGATACCGGTGGGCCTTAGGCCAATGGCCTACTTGGCCTATTGGTAAATCCGGCCCTGAGAGTAGGCTTCTGAAATAGTTGAACACGGATGAGGTTTGCTAATTCTTGAAAGTGGCGTTAGCGAGATTTATAGCTCTAGCTGAGTTCATCACATGTTTCGAACATGATTCGTGTTTGTAACAGCAAGCATATTATAATTTAACATGTGTATTAGGTTTAGGATCACATGCATGCTACGTTGTAAACTTTGAAATTTCCTAATTTAAACGTCAAATTCGCATTTTCTTTATAAATAGAAGAAGAGTCTTTGGGTCTACATTACAGTTAAACAAATACAATTGTAATATGTCAATGTAGTGTCTTACATGACTTAATGGGAGAATGAGAAGCCACATGCTGGGTCTTACTCCCGGCATTTATTGTTGTTGTTATGTACCACGTGCCTAACACATTCGTGATTACACAGGCCTAAACACATTCTAACTTTGGTAAGAAGTAACATGATAGATAATGTTTATATAATCAATAAAGGCAGCATATAAACATATGCATATATAACATCAACTATTTCCTTACAGTCACACTTCATTTCATGTGCTATATTTCCTTGTGGAAAAGTATCTCCTGAGTTGGATTGGCAATAGGAAACTTTGACATTTGGTTAGTGAATTTACCACATTCAGAACATACACCTAGTAACAATAATATAAAGAAACTATATTATACATATTTGAAAGTCCATTATTGGGTAAAACGCCCTATAAACTGGAGGAGTGAATGCTTCGGACGCGGGTTCATACTCCCGTGGTTCACAACTCTCGGAAACTAGGATTGACAAAGCTGACTGTAACAGGTGGAAGTGTGGCAAGGCATACATAGACAGTGCAAGTGTATAAACAATGCACATATATATTAAGGTATATAGATAATGCATGTATACAAAAAAATTATCGACAGTGCAAGCATGTAAACCAGTGTTTTGCCTCATTCCTTCCATTATAACTCATATCTGTCTTATGTACCAAGTAGATAGTGTTGCCAGCACCGCACTTGACTGGTTTCACTTCCAAACTGCAAAGGTAAGTACTCACTAATTAGAAAGGTAGAAGAGCATGGCATCAAAGGTAATATCCTTAAATGGATTAGGGCGTGGTTATGGGACAGGAAACACCTAGTGAGCATAAACGGCACTAAATAGCATTGGAGCAACGTCACTAGCGGAGTTCCCCAAGGCTCAGTACTTAGACCATTATTATTTATTATATACATAAACGACATAGATTTCGGCATAGACAGCAACATAAGTAAATTTGCTGATGACACTAAAATAGGACGTGTAATTAAATCTGACGAGGACTCTGCAAAACTACAGGAAGATCTAAAAAACATTTTCGAATGGTCGGAAAAATGGCAGATGAAATTCAATGTGGACAAATGGCAAGTACTCAGTATAGGAGATGTAAACAGGGAAACCAATTACCAGATGAACAACGATGCCATTGTGGAATCCGACTGCGAGAGAGATTTAGGAGTAATGATATTTTCGGAGTGAGGGTTGTAAACTCTTGGAACAATCTACTAGAGAGTGTTGTGACGGCACCGAGTGTGAGCTCTTTCAAGAGAAGACTTGACCAACACTGGAGCGGGTTCAGGTACATTCAGGAGCCGGTGCATGCCAACAGTGCGTGACAGAGACGTGACCTATCGCCCGGGCGGCTAGCGAGCCGATCTTTTGGTGAAGAATATAAATGAAAAGAGACATGACCGATCGCCCAAGCGGCTAACAAGCCGATCAGTGGCGAAGAGGATAAAAGCAAAAAAGATAAGTAGAAATCTTAAGCCAAGTAAACAATGTGTTTTTGCTCGTAACAAGGCTAATAAAGTACTTGGGTTCATACAAAGAAGTGTTAGTTACAAGACTAGCGAGGTCATCTTAAAATTATATCTAGCGCTTGTGAGACCTCACCTGGATTATGCAGTTCAGTTCTGGTCATTGTATTACAGAATGGATATAGAATCCTTGGAAGGAATCCAGAGGAGAATGACAAGACTAATCCCGGGCAATAGGAACCTTGAGTACAGAGACAGGTTAAAGCATCTTAATTTGCACTCCCTCGAGAGACGTAGAGTGAGGGGCGAATTGATAGAGGTGTATAAATGGAAGTCAGGATTAAACAAAGGTACTCAAATTATCTAATCAGGAGTGAACTCGCAACAAAGGTTTTAAATTAGACAAATTTAGATTTCTGCGTGAAATAGGTAAACACTTGTTTGGAAACAGAGTAGTGGATGAATGCAGCAAGTACCAAATATCATCATTAACTCGAATACGCTAGATAGCTTCAAACATAGGTTGGATGCTAATATGAGCAATAGGGGTTGGGTATAAACGGGACTGCCCAGTATGGGTCAATAGGCCCGCTGCAGTTTCCTCCTTTCTAATGTTCTTATGTTCACTCATAAATGAATGAACTGTGGGTACCTCTGGCACAAACCAGTGACTGGTAGGACAGGAGGCCGCCGCATGCCAGTATTTGGTAAAATGTGTGACAGTGTGAGTGTAATAATAATAAATAATGATAATTAACGGTTTATTGAAAGATCATGGCAGCCGGAAGGCTGAAAATATAAAATTACATGATTGGGGAATGGGTCTCTTGATTTACAAATGATGTACAAGCAACACAAGTGATACAAATATGATATATAATAATAAGGGGTTGATAATTTTTACAATGGTTGGGACTGGGCTGTTCTTGTAGCAATCAGTTCGTGCTCGTATGGGCTGGATGCGGTTGGGCAGGTGTGTGGCCACGTGGCCAGGCCAGTAGCTTGGGGCAATGCAGGTGTGCTCCATCCTTCAGGTTAGGTCAAGTGAAGCTCTGAGGTCAGGTCAGGATAGGTCAAGTGAAGCTGTGAGGTCAGGTCAGGTTAGGTCAGATCCAGCCACACTCAGTATTGCTGTGTTTTTGTGCTTTTCTTCGAGTTAAAATTGCCACTTTTGTATATCACTTGTGGGTTGATCGTCAATCTTTGCACTGTACTGTTGGTGTGAGGATGTTGATAAATCCAGATGGGAAGGAGGAGATGGGGAAGGGGAGGGCCCGACAGACCGGGCTGGCAGCTGTCTCCATGGTCAAGAGACCACGGCAGCGTTAGCGGGCAGCACCGACTACACACGTCCTTACCCTATGAAGGCTGAAGGAAGTCTGAAGGAAGTGTGTGTGTGTGTGTGTGTGTGTGTGTGTGTGTTTAAGGTGGACAGCCACTCCACTGGTCACACTCTATTTTATATAAAATTTATTTTCTTTTAAGTGAGAAAATATAAATGAAACAAGGCAATTATATCTTTAAAATAACATACATATCATTATTTCATATTCTCGCATGTTCAATCCCCTTCCTCCTCAGCCAAGGCCAAGAGGACGCATCTCTCTGGTTCACATAGAGTAAGGCATAATGTTGTCGACCATAATGGCGTGGAGTTTACATTGAGATTATAGTTACAGTACTTAAATGCGTTTTCTTATCGTCACTTATGGAAGGAACTCTTACATAAGACTCCTGTGATAGTCTCCTGTGTGGTGGTGAGGGTGGAGGAGTCGTAAGTTGCGATGACGCGGTGTTAGAAGCGACGATGGTGGTGGTGGTGGTGTCGGTTGTGGTGGTGTCGGTTGTGGTGGCCCTCCTCGATGGCAGCCTCCGCTGCCATGCCTACCGCCATTCCCAGAGCGGCGGCTCCCAGCGCTCCCCCGCCACGACGCTGAGAAAGTTGGATTAAATATTAGGGATCAACCAATTAATATTCTGGAACGGGGTGGTAATATCGACAATATTTACCTAGATTTTGCCAAGGCTTTTGACAGTGTACCCCATGAAAGGCTGAAAATCAAACTGGAAGGGTACGGAATTCGGGGAAGTGTCCTTGCATGGATCGAAGACTTTCTACATGACCGCAAGCAGTGTGTGTGGTGAGTAATGGCACGAAATCGTCATCCGTACCTGTCACAAGTGGGGTACCACAGGGCAGTGTATTGGGCCCGCTCTTGCTTGTTTGTTTCATAAATGACATGCCTGACGTTGTACACTCCTCCATACAAATGTTTGCCGATAACGCTAGGTTATTTCGGGAAATTAAGAACCAAGCTGACTGTGAAGAGCTGGAGAAGGACCTCTGTGGGCTCCAGGAATGGTCGAAGGAATGGCTGCTGAAATTCAATGTCACGAAGTGTAAGAGGATGCACCTGGGGCGTATCAACGGTAAGGAGGCGTATCATACCTGTATGTCCCAACGGGATGAAGAAACTGCACTAGTTGAGACTGAATGTGAAAAGGACCTAGGTGTGTATGTTGACAATGAGCTGAAGTTCTTGGGCCATTGCGAGAAGAAGGTAAACCAGGCAAATAAATTATTGGGTCTTATAAGAAGGTCGTTCAGATATGTAGACGGTCCGTCCCTCGTAACGATCTTTAAGAGTGAAGTGCTTCCTCATCTGGAGTACTGTCACCCCGTCTGGTCCTCGAGATATGCTAGGGACTCTCAGTTGGTTGAAAATGTTCAAATGAGGGCCACCAGACTGGTGCCTGCACTTCGGCACCTCAGCTACCCTGAGAGATTGGAGCGCCTGAACTTGCCTAGCTTATATTACAAACGAGCAAGGGGTGACCTAGTTGAGGTGTATAAGCATCTCAGGGGGCACTACTCAGTTGAGTGTCCTTACTTGGAGCTGGCGGACGCTCGCCTCACAAGGGGTCACAGCTCAAGATTGAAGAAGCCGCTAGTCCAGAAAACTGTGAGAGCAAACTTTTTCGGAGTGAGGGTTGTAAACTCTTGGAACAATATACCAGAGAGTGTTGTGACGGCACCGAGTGTGAGATCTTTCAAGACAAGACTTGACGAACACTGGAGCAGGTTAAGGTACATTCAGGAGCCGGTGCATGCCCAGTATTTGCCAACAGTGCGTGACAGAGACGTGACTGATCGCCCGGGCGGCTAGCGAGCCGATGTTTTGGTGAAGAGGATAAATGAAAAGGAAAAGTAATCAGAGACGTGACCGATCGCCCAAGCGGCTAACGAGCCGATCAGTGGCGAAGAGGATAAAAGTAAAAGTAAAATAAGTGACCGTCTTCATATCTGAGGATTGGCGATCACACTTCTCCACTCTAAACGTTTTCGGGCTGTTTTGACCAATCCTCTAAGGTTTTGTATCTCTTCGGGGATCCAGCTTTTAATTTAATTCATGCATCCCATTCTCTGCCTTCCCCTGTGAGGCTGGAGACATCACACAGTGTAACAGTAACAGTGACTCTGGAGGCATCACAGTGTAACAGTACTACTAATTCTACTTTTTCTGCTTTGCTGTCACTCGGAATCGAGTATGACGATCATCCATCTGTGTTACAATGATATTAATTGAGGATGTCACCTTCGTTGGTGTGGATGGCTACATCTATTGCTTGGGGGCAGCGTCTTTCCGACGTTGGCGCTTGTCTTTTTTTTCTGGCATTAGCCTACCCGGGCTAATAATAATAAAATTAATAAAAAATAATAAAATAAATACCAATTATATTAAAAGAAAATATTAATAATACTAATAAAAAATAATAATAAAGAGCCATAAAAAATCAAGAGTGAGAAATTTAATATGGACAAATGTAAAGTACTTAGTCTAGGAGATTTAAACGGAGAAACCAGATACCAGATGAACAACGATGTTATAGAGAAATCAGACTGTGAGGAAGATTTAGGAGTAATGATAATCTTAAACCTAGTAAACAATGCGTATTTGCTCGAAACAAGTCTAACAAAGTACTTGGGTTTATACAAAGTAGTGTTAGTTATCAAGACTAGCGAGGTCATCCTAAAAGTATATCTTGCACTTGTGAGACCTCATTTGGATTATGCAGTTCAGTTCTGCTCACCATACTCCAGAATGGATATAGAATCTCTAGAAAAAATTCAAAGGAGAATGACAAGACTAATCCCGGACAGGATCACACTGGTGAGTGAGGAGGCGAAATGGGAGGTTATTCGGCAGGCAAAAAACTTAGCAAGGAGTGTATTCATTCATCCACATTGCATGGTAATGCAGAGGGAACTGCACAAGAAGCTCCTGCAGGACTTGAAGCAGAAGAGGGAGGAGTCAAGGAGGAATGGGGATGGGTGTACATGGGTTATATTCAGGGGGAGGGTAGTGGAAGCAAGTGTGCCGACACAGGGCCAGGGGGCAGCAGCGAACCCTCCACCCGCTCTACCCCCCACCCGGGAAGTGGCACCAGCTCCGCCTACCAGACAAGACGAGGCGAGCGCCGTGTAAACAATGACATTTCTAACTACACCCTGCAAAATATAGTGTACATAGCAAATGCTGCAGCTTCTGACAATTTGGGGGGGGGGTTACTACTAAGAGCAGAGATGTTACCGAGAACAAATTCTGGCTTGAATGTCATGTACACTAGTACTGACAAGTTTCTCGATAAGAGAAAGGAGTTTGAAACACTATTGAAGGTACACCAACCAGATATTGTAGGAGTTGTAGAACTGTTGTACAAGAACAGGAGAATTGACCCAGAGGGTACAGGGAGAGGATGTTTTTGAACAGCCCAAGTGGTGTAAAATTAAATTAAAGGGAGGGGACTTACTTATCGTTGGATGTATCTACAGATCCCCAAACTGTGGCCCACTAAATCAAAGGAACTTAAGAGCCTCAATAGACAATGCGGCGATGCTCAACCCTAGCTACCTCCTTAACAGGAGGGACTTTAACTATAGCGACATCGACTGGAGAAACGAGTTCACCCCAAATGACTTGAATAACCCTGCTATTCTTTTTGTAGAAACTCTGAGAGATAATTTTCTGTTCTAACATGAGAGAGACCCGACACATTACAGAGGGGAACAAAACCCCAAGCCACTAGACGTCATCATAACCAACGAGTGGGGGTATGGTGTCCAAACTGGAACACCTTGCCCAGTTGGCACCAGTCACCATATAGTGTTGTCATTCAGATTTAACTGTTACCTAGTTCAAGATAAGTCCAGGCCAAGGTGCAAATATTACAAGGGAAATTACAACACGATGAGGGAAGAGATGAGGGGTATCAACTGGCCTGACTTATTAAGGTACAAGAACGCGGACACTACGTTGAATATCATAACTAGTAAAGTGACCCATTTTATCAATAAATATATACCCAAGACCCAGTGGCTCTAGGAATAAGAGGGGTTCCCTACACATGAACCATGCGGCGGTCGACAGAATTAAGAAGAAAACCCAGAAATTCAAGACGTGGGTTGGGTCAAACGATGAGCAGGACAGGAGGATGTATGCAAGAGCCAGAAATCAAGCAAAGGTAGAGTGTAGAAGGGCTGAAAAGGAATTCCAGAGGCTGGTTGCAAGCGAGGTCAAGTCAAACCCAAAGGCGTTTTACCGCTATGCAAAGTCGAAATTAAAAACGCGAGTAGGAGTATCAGACCTGAAGCTTGAAGATGGTAGTTACGCAGATTCTGACCAGGATAAAGCTGAGGCATTGAACAGCTTCTTTTCCTCGGTGTTCACAAAAGAGAATTTGATCAACCTTCCTGCGTTTGAGGACAGACGGTTCGACACAGCACTAACCCACATTGTGTTCACAGAAGAGGGTATTTTAGAAAAAACTGTCAAAGCTATAGGTCCATAAGAGTCCCGGCCCTGACATGGTGCATCCCAGAGTGCTAAGAAAGTTGCGCAACGAGCTTGCCGAGCCCCTGAAGATCCTGTTTCGTAAATGCCTGGATGAACAAAAGGTCCCCAGTGAATGGAAAGTGGCTTATGTGAGTCCTATCTTGAAGAAGGGCGATCGTCACTCCACGAACAACCATAGACCGGTGAGCCTGACCAGCATAATATGTAAAGTACTTGAGAGTATCATGAGAGATGCCGCGATGGAACATCTACTACGAAACAACCTTGTAAAAGATTGCCAACACGGTTTTATGCCAGGGCGCTCCTGCTTAACACAATTGCTCAAGGTACTGTATATTTGGACCCATATTCTGGAACGGGGTGGTAATATCGACTATATATACCTCGATTTTGCCAAGGCTTTCGACAGTGTACCCCACAAAAGGCTGAAAATCAAACTGGAAGGGTAAGGAATTCGGGGAAATGTCCTAGCGTGGTGATTAATGGCACGAAATCATCGTCCGTACAAGTCACAAGCGGGGTACCACAGGGTAGTGTATTGGGCCCGCTGGTTTTTGTTTGTTTCATAAATGACATGCCTGACGTTGTACAATCCTCCATACAAATGTTTTCCGATGACGCCAAGTTATTTCGGGAAATCAAGAACCATGCGGACTCTGAAGAGTTGCAGAAGGATCTCTGTGAACTCCAAGAATGTTCGAAGAAATGGCTGCTGAGATTCAATGTCACGAAGTGTAAGAGGATGAGTCTGGGGCGTACCAACGGTAAGGAGGCGTATCATATGTCCCAACGGGATGAAGAAACTGCACTATTTGAGACTGAATGTGAGAAGGACCTAGGTGTGTATGTTGACAATGAGCTGAACTTCTCGGGCCATTGCGAGAAGAAGGTAAACCAGGCAAATAAATTATTGGGTCATATAAGAAGGTCGTTGACATATCTAGACGGTCTGTCTCTCGTATCGATCTTTAAGAGTGAAATCCTTCCCCATCTGGAGTACTGTCACCCTGTCTGGTCCCCGAGATATGCTAGGGATTGTTAGTTGGTTGAAGATGTTGAAAGGAGGTCCACCAGACTG